AAGAGCCCCTGGGGACATTGTCTTACAAGACTAGTTCCAAACGGTCGCACTCGTTCTGGCATCTGATTGGTGCCAGAAAATCTTTGTGTTTTTCTGCCCAATCAGAGTGAAGTGTCCTTTGGAGTCCTTTCGTGTGTTTTAACACGCACATATACAACAAGCTCTGTAGCTCGCTATGTTTGTTTGGGCCGTGCGACGAAGCTTTGCCCGAGGTGAAAAGTTTCAGTCTCAGCACACAATGTAAGAGAAATCGATCAGATTGTCCGCGAAATCTTACCGGAAATTATACTGAATACTTTCGCAGGTATCACAAGAGAACGTCTTTAAAAGTTTGCGAGGTTCTTATAAAACATAATTGTTGCAAGCATTGATATGTCGCTTTAAACGTTAGATGAGAGGTAAGCCTAAGTCTCTCAAGATTTTTCGTACAATTTGCTGTAACTGAAACTTTTCCAATCCCGTGAAGTTATCTCGTCGCACGGGCCACGCAGGTATGTCGATCAACTGGCGCTTACGCAACTTTTTGTGCACGCCCGGCCAAAATCTAATGTAATCTTCGCTTGAAAAACAAACAAAAAAAAAAAAGCTAAACGTGGAAACTTTTGTGTATTAGATGTGGGTAGATAACCCTGTACTAAGCTGACATTTACAATAAAAGAAGCCCACCCTTTCCATCTAATATTTCTTGTTCTTTGGTTTTGTTTTCCCCAATGAAAGCAGCATCGATTCCCAATGATCAAAGGTATTTAACTTGGTCTTCAACAATCGACAAATGAGGTGAAATGACAATGACCAAGGGACTAGAAGAGAATCCGTGGCCTTTCGAGCTCAAGAATTTGAACACTGTACACAGCAGCTAAAAAATTAAACTTTTTCAAAACCCCTTCGGTAACTGTCCGAAACACATCTCCTTTCCACGATGTTCTCGATGATTAGTTTTGGTTAAGATTTTAATTAGTTAATCGGAAACACAGCTAAGCTTTCTTTAAGCGCTTGCTGGAGGTCGTCCACGTACTTAACGTTCTCTGCAACCTTGGCCATATTGCGAAAGACTTTACTACAAAGCAACGATTAGAATTTGGCGCGCACAGAAAGTTACGTTCGCGTAAGCGCCAGTTGTTTGACATACCTGCGTGGCCCGTGCGACGAGATAACTTCACGGGATTGGAAAAGTTTCACTCACAACAAATTGTACAAATAATCTTGAAAGATTTAGGCTTACATCTCATCTAACGTTTAAAGCGACATATCAATGCCTGCAACCATTATGTTTTACACGAACCCCGCAAACTTTTAAACACGTTCTCTTGTGATACCTGCGAAAGTATTCAGTATAATTTTCCGGTAAGTTTTCGCGGACAATCTGATCGATTTCTCTTACATTGTGTGCTAAGACTGAAACTTTTCACCTCGGGCAAAGCTTCGTCGCACGGCCCAAACAAACATAGCGAGCTACAGAGCTTGTTGTATATGTGCGTGTTAAAACACACGAAAGGACTCCAAAGGACACTTCACTCTGATTGGGCAGAAAAACACAAAGATTTTCTGGCACCAATCAGATGCCAGAGCGAGTGCGACCGTTTGGAACTAGTCTTGTAAGACAATGTCCCCAGGGGCTCTTTTGCCCTTAACTTGAAATCGACTCACAGCCACTGGGTCTCCGAGGATGGGTTCTTCATAGCCTTCAGGTGCTTCAGGCTCGAATCGGTATGGCTCCACGAGTCCGCCAACCACTCCGAAATCTCTCTCGTTTTCGCTTTCTCCTGCCTCCGAAACATTCCTAGAACTCGAGTTGGAGTCCGAATCGTCAGAACTGGACATTATATAAGATGTAGTAGCAGGCTAAGATGTATTACGAAGTCACCAAGAACTCGAAGATTGATTGTGGATTACAGCGTGTCAACCGTGTGACGTCACAGGTGTTGTCAACCGCTGGAAACTTCGAAGGCTCAGAATTCGCGAAATGGACGCATTTAAGAAGTACTCTTTGAGCTCCGATTTGAGAAATTTTTGGACCGTCATTATACGTTTTCATTTTTTAAAACCACTTTTCTATGATTGAAAAACCTTTTTCATTTCAAAAAGGGTATTCATGAAATTCACTTCAGTAGCACTTTAAATGGAGAGAAATGCCGGTTCAGACTTCTGGAGTTGACCTTTTTTGGGCAGGATCTTAGTAATGAGGGGTCACGCCAAGTGAGAAGAAGATTGCAGCTGTGGTGAATGCCCAGGCACCCAAGAATGTTTGAGAAGTTCACTCATTCGTACAGCTTGTGCAGTACTCGTCAAAGTTTATTCCAAAATTCTCGCAAGTTGCAGAACCACTCTGGAAATTGCTCAGAAAGGGACAAACCTTCGTCTGGGGCATTGAACATCAAGCATCATTTGAAAAGCTGAAGCAATTCATGGCGTTAGCAAACACCCTTGCCTACTTTAGAGGAGACAGCAAGACAAGGATTGTAGCAGATGCAGGTCCAGATGGACTGGGAGCAGTTCTTCTCCAACTGCAGGACAATGAATGGAGACCAGTATCATATGGTTCAAGGAACCTTACAGATGTCGAGAGACGCTACGCACAAACGGTAAAGGAAGCGCTGGCCCTGGTATGGGCGTGCGAAAGGTTCAATCTCTACGTCTATGGACGCCAGTTCGAGCTCGAGACAGATTACAAGCCGCTAGAACGTATTCTCAGTCCACGTTCCAACCCATCAGCAAGGATTGAACGTTGGGTGCTTCGTTACAGTGCCACAACTACCGCGTATTGTACCGTCCCGGTAATGGAAATATCGCAGATGCTTTGTCCAGATTGAACCAAACCAACCCAAAGGAATCAAGCAGGGAAAAAGAGGATTTTGTCAGATTTGTGGTGAAAGAAAGCACACCAGTTACTTTGACCCCTAGAGAAGTTGAGAGGGAGTCCGAGAATGATCCGGAGTTAGTGAGTGTACGTCAGTACATCCATTCAGGAGATTGGTCACAGTGCAAGATGCCTGGCTATATCTGTGTGAAGAATGAGCTGTGTACCATAGGGCAGTTATTACTGCGTGGAGACAGGATTATGATACCACAGAGTCTCAGGAAATCAGTCTTAGAAGCTGCTCACGAGAGACACCAGGGGATAGCCAAGACAAAGAGTAGACTAACATCGAAGGTGTGGTGGCCCAAAGTGGACATGGATGGGGAGCGAATCTGCAAAAGCTGCCATAGTTGTCAGGTTGTGGGACAATATTTACCTCCCGAACCGATGCTGAGGACTGAACCACCAACAGCGCCCTGGTAGGATCTCGCGGCGGATTTAATGGGACCGCTTCCCACAGGTGAAAGCTTGTTAGTGGTAGTCGATTACTACAGTCGGTATTACGAGGTGTCAGTGATGCGGTCAACAACCACGCCCAAGATCATCATGGCGTTAAGAGAGATTTTCGCACCGCTTGGAAACCCACACTCGCTCAAGACGGATAATAGTCCGCATTTCGTTAGCAAGGAGTTCGAAGAGTTGTTACGTGAATGTTGAATCGAACACAGGAGGTCACCACCGCTATGGCCACAGGCCAATGGCGAGGTGGAACGACAGAATAGATCTCTCTTAAAAACCCTGAAGATAGAAGAGGTGGAGGGGAACAAGTGGACAGACGAACTACCAAAGTATCTTATGGCGTATAGATCCACACCCCAAGAGTCGACAGGTGCCACTCCTGCCTTTCTCGTGTTTGGGAAAGAGATCAAGTCTAAATTTCCAGAGTTAAGACCAGAACAGTCAGTAGTTAACGAAGATATTAGAGACAGAGACTGGAGTAACAAGTTAACTCAGAAAGCTTACGCCGATGACAAGCGAGGTGCGGTACCGAGCCCTATAACCCTGGAGATCAAGGGCTTTTGAAGAACACAAAAAGCACTGGAAAATTAATTCCTAACTTTTAACCTGAACCATATACGGTTTTGGCAAAAGAAAGAAGCCAAGTAACATTTCAGTGTAGTAAAGGAACCATATATAACAGAGATAGTTCTTTTTGCAAGCCGTACATTTCACCTGCTGAGTCAAAAGTGCCCGGGGAGGACAGCAATGTTAAAGACACGGGCACTTCAGACCAAAAGCCAATTGAGATTGAAACTTCTAGACCTGGGCGTATTATTAAAGCACCAGAAAGGTTTAAGGACTATGTTTTAGGGAAGCCCTAAGAGACTTCTGGACTTTTGAAAAGACCTTTTCAGTTTACGATTTCAGATTTTGTAAGTTGTCGTAAACCATTGTAATCTTTGAGCAGGTACAGTCAAAGCGGAAAGGAAGAGATGCAGTGTCTAGTTAAGCGCAAGGCATTGTGGGTCGCAAGAGGCAGCCATCTTGGAAAAACGTGTGTGTGTGGAAAATAAAGTGTGTTGTGTTTTCGGGGAAATCCAGTGTATTTTACTACCCATCCAGCCCCCACAGTACATACGGGATGTAGGAGTTCGTAAATATTTTTGACGAACAGTTGTGCACGGTGTAGTCTGTGGATGCTATCGTTATTTATCTAAAGATTGTCGAGCCCGTGGCCATCGACCGAAAACCATCAGAGATTCCTTAGAAAATATTTATCTCTTCCTATGTGCCGGAGTCTTACTTAATTAACAATTATTAACCTCTTGTTTAAAGAAGGCTTACGAAGTTTATCGTTTTCTTCTTATTGAGTTCAATTACTATCATCATTTTAGACCCGAAATCATTGCTGATGAAAAGTCATACCTTCTTCGCAATATATGAAATTTTTACTTTCTTAAACTTGGCCTTGCTCCTTCTTCAAAACAATTCTACCTCGAGCTTTTTTAACAACAACGAAGACAGCTTGTAGGAGAACTTGATATCTTACTTAAAGGAAAATTCCAAAGCAATGACGTAAGCTCCAAATATGGCTATGTTATGCTACACTTAATGGCATAAGCAAAACGCACTTTAGCTTGTTCATAGCATTTGAAACTGACTTTGAAAGCTGACACGATGTTGATGGTAAAGGTTTGGCCTTTCGTGTTTATCGGACTTTTTTAGTGGCTCCGGCTACATCTTCGAATGGAGATTCCGTTGAGTAATACTTGATGTTACTGAAATATAGAAAAAAACATATCAGAAACGATAACAGTTTGGAAAGTTATTCTAATCTAATTAATAGTCCATCAAAAATCAGTACCAGACTATGTTCTTTTTACTAGTCGAAGAAAAAACCGTGGAAATAAAATATTAAATGAAATTTTGTTTGACCGCCAGTTGTACTATCACAACAGCCATGGAATGGCATAGGCAGTACCCCTTTTGTTGGATCGAGAGGTTGAGTTCTTTGCAAATTTATCTTAGTGATGGAAAACAATCTTTGATTGAAAAAATGTCTTGCTAAAAGACGAAAACACTTCTATCTAAGTTGAGGAATCGCCATCGAGTTGCTTATGTTTAATACCATTTTTACCTTTGTTGCGTTCATAGAACAAATACAACTTGATGTAGAACATGATATCCTTGCCAAATGCAAAAGAAAATGTCAAAGCATTTAACAGGGTTCTAAATATCTAACGGTAGTCAATTTGAGACTTTTATTATCATGACTAAAATAGAATTTGGTTCGCTGCCTTTTCAAACTGATCTCTACCATCAACACGGTGAAAATAATAAAGGTGCGGGTTTTCGTACTGCATGCTCGTACTTTTAGTGGCTCCGGTTACATCTTCACCATCTTCAAGTGAAAATTCTGGTAAAACTAGGTGTAAAAATACATAAAGAAAAACAGTGGTTAATAAAAGTTGATTGTTATGATTATGTGATTTTAGAGATATTAAAATTGAGCTTACACAAATCACAATGAATTAGGGAATGAATATTTGCAGTAAAATGTACCAAATCGCTTCCAAAAGTGAACCTTCCCCTCCCTTACATATTCAAAGACTCAACGGTGGTGTTTTAAGTAACAATGAACCTTTAAAAAACTACTTTGGAGCTCAAAACCTCGGGGAACTAAATATGTTTTGCAAATGTGGTCATTTTGGCACTCAGGTCACTTGTAAATTACATAATCTGTCAATGCCACTTTATCAAAAAATAGGAACCCTTTGTTTTCATTTTCCTCAAGATTCGCAATTTCAAGGCTATTAGTTGTGAAGTTTTGGACAATTGGAAAAAATACAGCAAATTAGAATATAAGGTACTGTAGCCGAAGCCTGGGTACTACTAAATTAGTACACTTTAGTTTCAAATCAAATGAGATATTTTACATGTTCTACGCACTGGTCTTTTGTTGTTGCTCTTTGCTTTTTGACGTGTTCGGTAGCATTCACGGTCGATTAAGGTTTGTACTTAAGCAGATTCTATTTGGCTGTGCGCCTCAAAAACACCGTGAGGTCTGTACGCCAGTCACACACTTCGCTAGGCCAAACAAAATGCGAGTTTTCGTCCTTCAGCTATTCTGGATGACATGTTCAGATATTTCTGCAAAAGTTTTGTGTACCGGTCCATACCTAAAGCCTCTGGATGTAGACCACCCCCCCTTACGTTTGGGGGGCTGTTAGCTGAAAACTTACAGGAACATATATATTGAAGACATCTTAAAGGCGGTGAACATAAAAAATCAGAGGTGCTTTGTGATTTTTTTATCACTTTAGAATTGATGACGTAACAACATGTCGTAACGAAAGTATTCATGAAAACGAATGAGTTATTACAGCTGTATTCTAGATGCTGGTCTTACTTGTCTTTTGCTATTCAGCTTATCCTCGCTTCTTTGGAGAGACACTTAAGTGACTGGCTAAGAGTCCACGGAATGTTTTCGGGAAAAAAGCAAACACCACCGCCATTTTTCGTTGAACGCAAGCGTCCTGAAGGCCTCCCTGGAAGCCTAGAGGCGTC